CCCAAACCATGGTAGCTTTCACGACATGGGGAAAGGGTTTTTTTTTTTTTTTTTTTTTTTTTCGAGAAGCTTCCCGTACCTGTCTGGCATAGATACTCCGACCATCGGCTCGGGCCAAAACGTATCGGCCGCCGGCAATGTAGAGACCTTCCGCGAAGGCTTTGTCCTTGGCGGCATCGTCGCCGCCGACAATAGCAGAAATGGCCTTCATCTCTTCTGGCTTAAGCTATTACCGTTTAGAACCCAGAGAGTATCAGTCAGCTGTCTGTTTAGATATCCATAAGCAACACCCACTGCTGTCTGTCGGGCACCGTCCAAGAGAGGAGAAACAGTATTATGATTTAAAAAAAAAAATTACCTGGAAGTCGGTCGAAGCAGCCCAGGCGCTGTCACCGGCTGCGCTGATAATGGCGCCCTTGTCAATGTGACCGGTAGCCACAAGGCTGGGCAAAGGTTAAGAGTCAGCTTCTTTTTTTTTATATCATCGGGAGCGAAGATGAGGGTCTGGAGATCGAGGGCGTAGGTCTACCTGGTATCGACATAAGCTGCACGGCGGAGGGTTAGTCAACGATGATGCAGTTGCGGTGATAGGAGGGGTTGTTGACTGGGAGCGGTGGGAGGGTACCTTGCCACGACATGGTGAGAGCTTCCGGAGCTGGAGATGCAGAAACGAATAAAGCGAATGCCGAGATTAAACAAAAATATTAGATGCCGCAGCTGAGCAGTAGGTTGCGCCGACAGCAATGCAAGAACGGGTATGAAGGTAAGGTCAAAGGTCCAAGTTTGTTTGTGTGATGGAGTCGGTCGAGCACGTTGCTTCTGCCCCTCCTGTCCGCTGCGCGTGTCTTTTGCCCGTCTTGCTCATCCGAGATTGAGCATCAGCCAATTGCCTGCGGACGTTCCCCGCCGTGATTTTTCCAACGAAGGGTACTTTGTTGACTTGAGCTGGCATCTGGAACCCCCACCATGATATGATGATGTAATGCAAGTAAGTGCTCACTTTTTGATGTCACGCAGTGTCGAGCGACATCTTTTCTGCCGCCAGCTCTGCGGGTGTGGCCACTGGCAAATCTTTGCCGTCCCCTCCTAAGCGTCTTTCATGCCCATCTGCAGAGTCGAATCATCGCCAATTCTGGCATGCGAAGCTGGCATAGTGACAAAAGCCGACCGCACCAACGCAACATAAAGTATGTACAGTACAGTCTCTGGTAATGCGCCCAAGAATATCTAGCCATCCCCCTACATACTCCAGGAGAATATTATCTGATGTCATCATCCCGCGATGAGTCGTTACCTCGTTGGGATAGTCACGCTGTGCCTCCCCTGCTCCTGGCGCTAACAGAGAGGATGGCGCCTCAACTCCGTGATAGCTGCGTGGCAACTTATCATGGTTTGCACCCAGCTATGTACTTGGGTGGCTGGCAAGTTGGATATAGAGCTTCTTTGCCACTCTCGGTCGTAGTTATAGAGCTGCTTTGCCGAGCTAAAAGTTTGGTGTGTTCGATTGATATCGCTACAGCTCCAATACGTGCGCCTAGTTGTATTTCCTCGTCTGAGACGATCTGATTATGCACTAGAATTCCTCTGTCTTTATTTCATGTATAGTTTCCATTCGTTCTGTATTTACCCATATTCCTTACTAGATCTACAGTCTATTCATATGCTGTCGAGAGAATTCTCATGACTTGTATTCCAACTGTCATCAATGAACAGCTCCAACTTTGAAGGCACCATCAATTATTGGGCGGCTTTCAGCATGTACGCATTCTAGTCGGTAATGGTCTCTGCCGAGAAGAGGCAATTTACTGTCAACATAGTAAAAAGAGAAAATGCTCCTGGCAAACACTGGTTATGAGAAGTTGACCATGCACAGTTGGTCTCACATTAAACACCAAGGAGGTGGTAATCTCTGGATGACATTGCCATGTACATAAAGTAGCAATACTTGGGAAGTTTATCACGATTAAAAATGGGGTCGCGGAAATGTATTTGGAAATTCCACATCCGCCTACTCCGTGAAGAGCTCCGATGACAGGCTCGGTGCCAGCTTGAGTCCCGAAGCCTCTTTTGCCTCCCACATACTCCGTACTGGATCCTCAATGCATTTCAGCTCCTGTACGTGTACGGACACGGAGTACGCTCTGACCCCAACTCTTCGACCGTGTTTCAGAACCATTAGCCCAGAACAAATTCTCTCCGAGCCTGGTGCGGAGAGTCATACATATTGTTATCGAGAGTTAGCCTGATTAGGCTCTGGATCAAAAACAGTAAGTAGCGCAACCGCGTTGAAATGCAATATCCCTGACTTTGAAGCACATCTCATCAAGGTATGGTTGACATTTTGACGACTCGGCATTATTAAGGTGACGTATCTTCCTTGGACTTGCCTTTGACTGCGCACCGTTCTGGCACGAGGTAGGCTCTCAGCAACAACAGTGAACACCCACCTCCCCGAGATCTCGGCGGGGCGGCGGTGTTAACCTGAGAATATTCGAGCTTGGTTACATACCATACCTACCTAGTAGGTAGGTAGCCAGTACTGTTGTGCTTGCTCCCAAAAACATTCGGAGAAGGGTATTTGTCAGTGCTCATGACATATAAGTGAATTCAATAGCAGTGGCCCTGGTGATGTATCGGAAGCTAATCTTCTGCAAGGCCGAATGGGGATATTTCTCTCGACAGCTTTCTTGAATGTACATACATACCTACGCAGTGAGAACTTTTGAATGAAGGTTCGCTCGCGCGGGCTGGCCCCTGATTGTCTAGGACTCCCAGGCAATTGACGTCTGAACAAAGGGCGATCTGCGCAAAGATGAGACACTTGTTGCCACGTCTCGGCCCACAGGAGAAACAAGTCACCATGTCGGTGGTGGTCTTGGTATTTATTGGCTCGCCGAGTCTCGGAGCCGCCCTTTGACAGTCAGGGGAAAGCAAGCTCTGCGCTGTTGGGGGCATCCCAAGGGGTCAAACGCTGACAGGGATTCGTCAAACGCCCCAGGGCACAAGGCATGTTCGCCGACGCAGTGTAGCCATTGAACTGCGTTAGTTCCAGGGATTTAGCGTAAACGTTCTGCAGTCGACATGTGGTTCCTGTATCAGGTCCCGAGTGTGTGTACTGCAGAGTTCTGCACTCTGTCGATTTAGTTCTCCGCAATCTGGCATTTCGGGCTTGACAGTGCGACGCAGGCCAATAATCGAGGAGCTGGGTAATAACGTAGAAGTGCGGACAAGCGGGACGGGCGAAACATGAAGATTAATTCAATCCGCAATCCGCTTCCCAAAGTCAAAACATGGTAATCCATGTGATCTCAAAAAGCCCGACGTGCTCAAACATGGGAGGGGTTTTTGCCATGTGTCTAGGCAAGAACGACCTACATCTTTGTCAGACAAGCAGACGACCACGCCTTCCGAATCAGGCATCTTTGATATGCAAAGTCACGCTCCTGACAACTTGCAAGCAAAGGACTGAAACTTGCAACTGGACATGGCATCAAAATCCCGGACTCCTCAAAAGCATTTGAGGGGTGGCTCCGTCTCTCGCATCAAGCCACACGATGCACCCGCAGGCCATTTGCATCCCGACGACCACTTAATATGTTTAGATATATTAATACATACTTGTAGGTTTATTGTTAAGATGGTACATTTGAAGCGTGCCGAATAAACCCACCCCTAATATGCGTACCTACCTAGGTAGTACTTGAACTTGAGTTCAAGTAATACATGGCCTCAGGCAGCTAAAAGTACGTAACCTTGTCTGGGCATACATAGTGGCATTCGAACCTTGAATCTCACGAGTTGCAGCCTACAAACTGGCGCCCACTTTCCGGAGCGTTTGGAGACTGCGCACATTGACTTGTCCTTTAGACTTGGTTTTTTGTTGCTCCCGACCAATTTTAGCCCTGCAGATACGTGCACCCACACCCACCCTCGCTGGCTTCCCCTTGACCATGGGTTGCAGGGTCTTTGCAAACTTTGCGTAGGCAAACTTAGTCAGTCTCGTCCTCAACGCCGTCTCTTTGGCTACATGCTCATTGTGGATTGAGCTGCCAGGATGGTCGTCCCATCAATCTCAAACACGCGGCTGTCCATGTTGGCATGGCGTCGCTGGTGCAGCCATCCGCTCCCGCCAGCGGGCGGCTTAAGCTGCTCATCGCATGACGGGAAAGCAAACTTGAGATACTGACTTGCGCATGGCTTAGGTATGGCTCACTTTACCCAGCCCCCTCAAGCCGCAAGCTGGGGAAAGGGTATCGACTGGGACCGGGTGGGCTTGTTTGATGCCGTGTCTGCAACTGGCCTGGATATCTTGGCCCCAAAGTCCTCTCTAATTTCATCTCGCGGCCTGTCCGTGTTCCTAACACCTCATGGTTCCCTATTCGCTTGTGGTTTGTTTCTTTGACCTTCCACGGTCTAATCCTCGTCATAATCTTCGAAACGGAAAGTGGAATCGAACTTTTGCGCTGCAACACACTGCTAAACGGGCCCGGCCTTGCTCACGTAGCAATTTGATATATTAAGCCCCGTTTAGGCAGTGTTGTATGCCGGCCAAAAGTACACGGCATTCATAAAGGAGAGTCCAACCTGCCCACCTTACCTAGTCCTTGAGCGTGTCTGCTGCACCACCCAACCAGGGCTCTTGGTGAACAAGACTGAGCTGCAGGAAGACGGCTCTGATCTGCCTCCGGTGCTTTGTGGCCCCTTGGATAGGCTTGTACCCTTCGATGTGGAATGGAATATTCTTCCGAAGACAAGACCCTGCTCGACGCTGCTTTTTCGGCGCTCAGTCAAGGCAGATCCATTCCCGTTATATCAAATACACCGGGCTCTGCTTGCATTGCCAGCTATATGCATAAATGGATCGTCTTCAACGAGCCACGTCGATGTCTCGGTCGTCGTCATTGAATCGTCGAACAGGACACGAGGGCATTGACAACATAACAATGTCTGAAATACCAACACCCACTCGGTTGGCAGACGTGGAGAGATTTACGCCCAGTGTCTTTCAGTCCTACCACCGGCCAATGCGCAGAGGAACGGTTCTATCAAAGTCGCCTCCAGACAGTCAATTTCCATCAGCAACAGGCCTTTGGGGGCCTCACGTAAACGAAGCAGATGGAACAGGCATTATACCTATAGGAATGGCACTTGGAAGCCCTACCGAGGAACGTGGCTCCCGTGGGACAGCCTGGCAACCTCAAGTTGAAACCACTGTTGTAGCAGCCAAGGAGGACAGCCAAGACGAACAACAAACAAAAGACGGGCTTTCTAGATCCAAGTCGCGCAAATGGGGGATATTTGGCAGGTCCAAGTCGAGAAGAGTCAAGAACAATGATAGAGCTATGGATTCTCCGGATCAGATTACCTCCCCTAGCGACACACCAACCCGCGGAACGCCAACTTCGGCCGCTTCTCGTGGACCGCGATATACGGACCTGCGGGATACTAATATATCACCAAAGACAAAGTCACTTGGAAGATCGTTAACAGAACCTACAGGGTCAGAATCAAAATGGCCCCCCCAAGGTGGTTCACCTCAAGCCAAAACACAAACCACTCCAGATGGCACGCGAGCCCCAAATCGAGAACCTGTGTCAGAGGGCTCCAATCCTACCAACCAGGAGCCCATTCTTGATGTTGAAATCCCAAACATTACCCTAGATAGATATAGTGTGATGTTCGCGAATCTTCTTGAACGCCGCAGCGCGACATCCCTTCTCGCCCGTCGACAAGTCACCCAGGATAAGATTCGCGCACTTCGCGAAGAAGTTTCTAACCCTGGTTTTCAAAAAGAAATTCTACAACCAGGACGTAAACAAAGCGTGGACCGAGACTTGCCACCAATTCCTTCGTTACGACTCGAGCCTCTACAAGCAACTCGGAAATATCAGCAAAGTTCTCGCAATAGGTCCAACACATCCCCTGCAATCATGGGCACGCCGTCAAAGGAGACATTCACGGATTCACATATGCGTGATGGAGAAAAGGGAAAATCACCACATATAGTGAGACTCGCATCTGTTAAGGGAAGTAAACCTGCTGTTGGCAGCGGGATTACCACGCAAGGTGACAGACCACAGCTCCGATCCAAGTTTCACATCCAATCACCAACGCACCGACATTCAGGATCCAAATCAACAATCAACAGCAGCTTTGATCTCTCGGAGAACGAAATTGAAGAAGGCGGACTATCCCCTCCGCCGGCCAGGAGCCATTCTCATAAAAAAGGCAACCCATCGCAGTCAGACCCAAGCCCTCTGACACTGCAAGAAGCCACTCGCTCAACAGTATATACTACCTCCACACCTGGCGTCCAGGGCAGCCTAAGCAGCCTCTCAGGAGAAGAGCTAGACGAAGACGAAGATAAAGCGGTCCAGGACGCTGTAGAAATATCCATTGCTCGTCAAATCAGTGTATCCCGCGAACAGCGCCGAATGCTAGGCCCGCTGCAAATGCACCCCATAGAAGGAAGGCGGATAGCCGAGACGAAGAGTTCCACGCCGCGATTGGTTGACCCAAAGTTGGATCCGTCATCACCCTCTGCAGGACAAAGGAATAGTGAGCGGGTGGTGCTGGAGAGGATATGACAGGTATGACCTACTGTTTCAAAAGCTGACATGAACGGTTACTGGCCCCTGTAGCCCCCAAGTAATCGTCGTGTTATCCTTGAGGGAGATCAGATAGCTGGCGCCGGAGAGCCAGTTAAGGAAATAGCAACAGGCAAGGAGGCTGTGCAAGGAGCCAATGAAGGCAGTTGATGTGATCAGGATGCATCTTGATTCGGGGCTGGTTCACGCTACATTCGCTCAAAAGTCCACATTTTCAGCATTCAGGTTCCATCTAGACACTATTTTTTTTTGTTTGAGGATTTTGGGATACTGCATCTGGCATCTGATATAGTTGCAAAATATTCTGTAGGCTGGACTCTACAAGGTGGCTGAACAGGCCATTCGGGATTAGTCTCTGCTACCAATACCTTTCTTAGACATTATGAGTTAAAGACGTATAAAAAAGAAGGAGATGTTCCAACTCCAAATTGGAGGCTTTATTAATCTGCGTTGTGTATGGAATTAATATTTGGAATAGCCATATATGTGCTGGTCACCTGAGGGCGTTCCTGCATGACTTCTAACCCTGACCATGAGCCACGAGAAACGCCGATGGACCCTTTTCTTGGAAACGTAGTGGTAAGCTGTCGAACGAGCGATCATAATTCCAGTGTATGCAAATGCGAGTCTGTGGATGCGCCAACCAATAGCCGATAACCAATCTTGAACCAACAAGCCCGCCAGTTGGATACGGAAAGAGAATCCCAAGCCAAACTGGCCGCTTTATCTCCCTCTTGCCCTGTTACATCAACACACAGCATCTGTTTTGGTTTCTGGCTTGCTCTAAGCCCGCCAAATTAGCACCCCTGAATTCATTTATACAGCCAAAGGGTGAAACATACTGTAGAAGCCCTTGCTCATATCAGACAAGTCATTGCTCTTGTGGACCAATTCATCAAGTTTTTCTTGTCTCCCCAGCACACTCTCGATGGTTTGGTGCAGTACCTGTTTGGTGTCGTCCAGTTCCCTTTGAATCTGTCCAATTGTATCTATTTGAGCAGGGTCCTGGTACTGGGCGAGCTTCTGCTGGAGCTCACTCTGGTACTGAGCGAGCTGATCCTTGATATTTGCCCGAGGGCTTGACGCAGCGAGGTCCTTCCATGAGCTAGCGGGGAACTTTTCGAGAAACTCGCTGACGACGTTGCCGAGAAGTTTGTGGGCTGCGAGGGAAGGGTATTGGGCGTCGGAGATGGCGACGCCGCACACACCTAACTTGTGGGCGTAGATGTGGAACACGAAATCTTGTTTCGAGTGAGCCGAAGGCCTCATGTCTTGGAAATCACTGCGGTGGTTTCGCGTGTTGGTCCATACCTTGAGCATCCTGCGCAACGTCTTGCCGCTGGTTAGGCTTTGACTTTTCTGCTAATTGCTTCGCGAAAAAGGTCATGAATTGGGCATAGCTGAGCGAGGGCCTGTTAGAGTACCTCGGTTTGGTTGACGGACAATGGGGCATGAAGCGAGAGCGGGCAGAACGAACTTGCTTCTAGTCAGCAAACCATACGAGCTGACGTCCTTGACCACAGCCAGTTCCTGTGAGGGTTCCTTATTCTTAGGGTCTATGCCTTCCCTCGTGTCGTAGCTGATGATCTGTAGACTACGCGTGAGTATTTGCGCCGGTGCAAGGTTAGGCGACAGGTGGAAATAGCCTTACGCCGATGTAGAACAGCTTCATGGCGGTGGTTAAAGTTCGGATCCGGGCTCGGGTTTCGAGTCTGCGAGCTGGATCGAAGATGAAAATGGGCGGTGATATTGCCGCGAGTTTAAAATGACCGACGAGGTGCACACAGCGACGTTGAGGTGAAGCGAGGCCAGGGAGATGGACGATGTGGATGGGAGAGGGGAGGGGTTCAGAGTCTCGAGCTGAGTGTTCCAAAGTTCCTTTAGTGGTTCACTGGCACTGGTTCACTGAGCAGGCGGTCGCCCTCGGATCTTGCAGCGACCAGTGGACGAGGCAGGAGACATCAATCAGCAATGGGCACCAGCGCTCAGGCACCGGGTTAACTCTGGTGACCGCCGGTCCAGATGTCACATGCGTCGCGTCCTACTGTGGGAAGGCGTGCGAACTCGATAATGGCACGGTGTTGTTGACTGGAGGCGGCAGGAACAGGAGGCAGCAGTCGAGGCGGGGGCTCGAAGCAGCTTTGGCTGATAACTCTGGTAAATCTGGTGGAACGGTGTGACTCTTCCATGTTCCAGAGGAGCATCATTGATACTTAATATTATTTGCGCACAAGTTAAAGCGGCAACCGAGATCCTGAATTCGTAATTCTCTCTCGCTCCCTCTCTTTCTCTCTCTTTCTCTCTCTTTCTTTTATTCCCCTTGAGCCAATTGCTTGTTAACTGCTCGTTTGTTTAGCCTGCTGCTACCGTTCTACCTCTTTTTTTTCCCTTCATGACGGCACCATCAGATTTGCACCATCTCGTATTATGGCGTCTCCGGACTTAATTGCCGCCGAAGTGGAGTGGAGGGAACAATTTGCAGCAATGCAAGCTGCCCTCGCCAATCTCAGGCTTTCCACTCTCTCCAAAGCTGAAGAGAGCTGTCCCGAAGATGATGACGACCTTGAAGGATTCTCATCTGGAAATGACGGCCAGGACGTGTGGGACTTTATATCGGACACTGAACAAGACGATTATAGCAGCGACGTTGTTGATTTTGATGTTGACGGAGTTGGTGGCGTAGAGCCAGAAACCGCCCTGCATTGGTTTTTAGATGCATCAGCCGGGATTGCCGCCAACAACAACCTCTCTTCAGATGTCTTCCAAAGCCAGATTATGAGCGCTCTAAGTTCTGGTGAGCCAGACTACGAGCTTCAGTCACACCTGACCGACTTGGTTGGATTCGATCATCTCGATTTTGTCATTGATGTACTGTCCAAGAAGGACGTTCTGGTAGCTGAATCGAAAGGCCGAGATGAGAAGCATGCCACTTCACGTCGGTTGCTGAACAAGTCTGAGAGAGAGGCTGCTCTAAGACGCCAGGATTTTGAGCACAAGACTGCTTCATTATCTCCTGCCTCCAAAAAGGAACCACAGTATCCACATGTATACAGATCATACCAAGCTGGAAACACTCTGAGCTTTGCTGGCAAAAAGTATGGCCTGCCTGTTGGAAGTGAACGTCGCCAGTTTGAAAAGTATGAAGAGTACTTTGTCCCAGCGGGTCGAAAAGGCACCCTTGGTCCCGGAGAAAAGCTGGTGGCTATTTCGGATCTCGATGGCCTGTGCCGGAATACCTTCAAGGGCTATAAGACGCTCAACCGTATGCAGAGCCTTGTGTTTCCTGTAGGATATAAAACGAATGAGAACATGCTCATTTGTGCCCCTACTGGTGCCGTAAGTCAATACCAATCCAACGGCATTTCCCGTACAATAAATGAATCACCACTAACAACGGCCGTAGGGTAAAACGGATGCGGCCATGTTGACGATTTTGCATACGATTGGCCAGCATGTCTACCCTAATCCCATTGAGAATCCCGAAGCGACCGAGTTCGCTGTGGACATTGATGACTTCAAAATTGTCTACGTGGCCCCCATGAAAGCTTTGGCCGCCGAAGTTACTGAAAAGCTGGGCAAGCGTCTTGCCTGGCTGGGTATCAAGTGCCGGGAGTACACTGGTGATATGCAGCTGACAAAATCGGAAATCGTCCAAACTCAGATCATTGTCACTACCCCCGAAAAGTGGGATGTTGTTACGAGGAAGGGTACTGGAGACACAGAGCTGGTCCAAAAAGTGCGCCTTCTTATAATTGATGAAGTCCACATGTTGCATGATGAGCGTGGCGCGGTTCTAGAATCCCTTGTTGCCCGTACTGAACGGCAGGTCGAGAGCACACAGTCTCTTATCCGAGTCATCGGACTCAGTGCTACCCTCCCCAACTACGTTGATGTAGCCGACTTTTTAAAGGTCAACAAGTACGCTGGACTGTTCTACTTTGATGCCTCGTTTCGTCCTGTACCTCTTGAGCAGCACTTTATTGGCGTCAAGGGCAAGGCAGGGTCAAAGCAATCCAAAGAGAACTTGGACAATATTGCCTTTGACAAAGTCAAGGAGATGCTGGAGAGAGACCACCAAGTTATGGTTTTTGTGCACTCACGGCGAGATACCATGGCCACTGCGAGGATGCTACACCAGAAGGCAATTGAGCAATTTTGCATGGATCTTTTTGATCCGAGTGGACATCCCAAATACGATCAAGCCTCCCGCGATATGAAATCATCTCGGGCCAAGGATATTCGCGACCTTCTCTCCAAAGGAATTGGAATCCACCATGCCGGCATGGCTAGAACGGACAGGAATCTGATGGAGCGACTCTTTGGAGAAGGTGTTTTGAAAGTGCTTTGCTGCACTGCTACGCTGGCATGGGGTGTGAACTTGCCCGCCGCTGCTGTAGTCATCAAAGGTACACAGGTTTACAGTGCCCAGGACGGTAAATTCGTCGACCTTGGAATCCTAGATGTGTTGCAAATATTCGGTCGAGCCGGACGTCCCCAGTTCGAAGATACTGGCATCGGTATGATTTGTACCACCCAAGACAAGCTTCAACATTACTTGACTGCTATTACTGAGCAGCAGCCGATTGAGTCCAAGTTTTCAACCAAGCTCGTCGACAACCTCAATGCTGAAGTTGCCCTGGGAACAGTAACTTCCATCCAGGATGCTGTCCAATGGATAGGATACTCGTATCTTTTTGTTCGAATGCAAAGGAGTCCAACCGCGTACGGCATTGAGTGGGCTGAAATTCGTGATGATCCGACTCTTGTGCAGAGACGACGCCAATTAGCCATCCAAGCTGCAAGAACTCTACAGCAGTGCCAGATGATTATTTTTAATGAGAGGACCGAAGAGCTTCGCAGCAAGGATATAGGCCGAATTGCTAGCCAGTATTACATCCTTCATACTAGCATTCAGGTATTCAACACAATGATGCAGCCGCAAGCCACCGAGGCCGACATTCTCAAGATGATTAGTATGA